CTTTTCTTCTCTCATCACACATTCAAGCCCCCAGTGTTCATGTATCATTTCAATCTAAATTCTTCACTTTCTTCTTACACATTACATTTCAGCATAGCAGTTTAGCGTCAGATTTTCAGCATAAAGCATTCCCACTAGTTTGACTTGTTGTTGATATGGGCATGACAGGCTTTTTTTATTTCGTTGTACCTGTTGCAATGACAATAATTTTTTTTTATTATATTCCTTTCTATTCTATTCTACTAGAATAAATGTACATTCTACCACTGGAGAGAGGAAATAGATGTTAAATAATGTCCAGATATTTACCAGCCGTGACTGTCTGGAGCGCTGACATTGGCTCCAATACGAACCAGGAAGTCCACCACGTTGTAATGGCCGCCGCAGATGGCATTGTGAAGGGCGGTGATGCCTTCATCGTTGGGTTGGCTGGGGTCGCTCATCTATGGAAAACATTTCTCATCAGCCTCTCTCTATTGTTACTGACTTTATCCTGGTTTCAAAACGACTTGCTCCTAACCCCCAACTTGCTCAAATAGAAGTATATCTGTTGTACTGCGAGTGACTCTCAGTCGAATGTATTTCTGTATAAATAAGAAGCAGCAGGGAGGTGTCAAAAGAAAAGGAAAGCAGAGTCAGCAAACATTGCCGAAAAATAAATATCACATATTCTTAAGGGCTTCCTAAAGTCGAAATCCAGAACTGGAGCACCAACTTTTGCACTAGAATTTGCTTTCTTAGTTTCCACTGGTTTGAAGAAGTTTGTCCAAGAAAATAATTCCGCATATGTAGAATAAGCACCAATATGTTTCCTGCAATTGTGTTTAAGTTCTAGTGAGACATGTCTAATTGTTGTTTTTTCCTGAATCAGCTATGTTTGTTGCAATGAGTTTAATATATTGGGTACATGTGAGGTATAACTGTGAGTAATAGTAGCAGCAGAGTAGTTCAAGTTGCAGTATTTACAATCAGGCATATTCATTTACACACACACCTCCTGCACGGCCTTCTGCACCGTCTCCAGTTCTCCGACCAGCGACCCGTCCAGCAGCAGGACCAGCGGGCTGAGGCGGGCTCGCCTCCCAGAACTCTTGTGCTTGGGTCGCCGCAGGATGGAATGGTAGAGCTGGAGAGAGAAACAGAAGGAAGAGATCATCAATCACATGGGTTTCAGAACCTAATGCAAAATATGCTGTTTTTATTGAGAATTATTGCAATGTAAGTCCACTAGCATGTTTAAATGCCATTACACGGTGTAGAAAGCACATTGTTTCAGGGTTATTTAAGAACTGGATTCTGATTGGGCAATTTGGACATTCAGCTGTCTGATTTTTTTCGATAGCAGACTGTTGGTAAGGATCACTGATCAAGTGACTTTGTGCAGTAATATTAATCCGCAAAAAGAAGTATGATACGTTTAACGTCAATACCATAGTTTTCTGTTCCTCGATCATACGTTATATATGTGTGAAGAGCTTGAAACAAGAAAATAAAGAATAACAACAAAACAGTGCAAGAGAGAGAAAGAGTTTAAAGACTTAGAGAGCTGTGGGACAGAGAAATCAGCGGAAGAAGACAGACAGGAAGTAGACACTAAAGGGAACAACAGAAGAAGACAGACAGAGAAGAAGACAGGAAGTAGACACTAAAGGGAACAGCAGAAGAAGAGCGACAGGAAGCTAACACTAAAGGGAACAGCAGAAGAAGAGAGACAGGAAGTAAACACTAAAGGGAACAGCAGAAGAAGACAGACGGGAAGTTAACACTAAAGGGAACAGCAGAAGAAGACAGACAGACGGGAAGTAAACACTTGAGGGAACACAGTATACATGTAGGCTCTGGTAGTGCTTAAAGAATACATTTTTAAGTTAGGCCGTTGATACACTTTAGCACAGACTATGTTCTTAGTGGAAGCTATACTAGGTTCTGCTCATAATAATGACAAGCGCATTGCATGTTGTCCCTTACATAATTAATTAGGCATTTCTAAAGACAATTTACATAGTTCTACTTGTCCAGAGACTATAACATCCTCAGTCGCTCTAACCCTTTTCTTACTCTGAAATCTTGCTGCATTGTGGCTGCAGGTAGATGTGCAGGAGGTGTAGCGAAGTCCTCTTCTTCTGAGGAGCTGCTGGTCTCACTCCCCTTCTCCCCCTTCTGACGGTGGGCCTTCTTGCGGAAAAGCTTGTCAATTAGGTTTTTGTACTGGTTGGGCTGGTAGTGGGAGGCGCTCTTCAGTGGCTTGGAAGGATCCTGGGAGCCCCGCCGCTTCAGGGCCCGGGGGATCTCTGCTCGGATGCGGAGCAGCTCCTCCAGGTTGGGGATCTGCTCGCTCTGGGCCACCACTGGCTGCATCCTGGTGGGGCTGAGGGGCCGGGGGGCTGGGACCATACCCTCGCTGCTGCCCTCTGGTGTGCTGGGAGTCTCCTGAATCACAGGCATGTGATGAACTAAGTCCAGCCGCTCTAACTCTGCATCTATATCCCCGGAGTTCAGCACTGCAAAGATGGACACATTTGAAATGTTGGTTAAACAAAGATCATGTGAAAACGGTGTCAAACCCACAGGAATGCTTGGCCATAATGCTGGATTAAAATGTTAATATACATGGGAACTGCAATCATTAGTATAAGCACTTATATATTTTGTAATATTTGAGTAACCTAGAATGATCGGATATATGTTCATGTGTCATGGCAAATGTAATATATTTTAGGTAAAGTTATGGTAAAGTTGAGTGAAGCTCACACAGGCCCTTAGGGGATCATAATGTGAGAAGCAGAAGTGGCAGACGCTTCATTTATTAGACCTAGCCGATAGAATTAAGCTGTGATGTGCTTTTTTCTGTCTTCAGGTAAGCAAAAGAGGTAATAAAAATGATAAAAGTAGTACACGTGTATGGTATGGTATGGACTAGTTCCAGTAGTGTTAGCACCTGTAGCTAAATATAAGTTTGTGCTCAGTCAGTGTGCTTTGCGGGTTAATTGCAGCAGACTTATAAGAATGTGCATGAATGTTCATACAGATGCGTAACTCCATAGACCTAGCTGAAAGTATTTAGCTACATTGCATTGATGTGCTTTTGTTTCAGTATTTTCAGGTGAGCCAAAGTGGTGAAAAGTCGTGAAGTGTAACATTATAGAGGTAATGCAGATATGAGATTTATATTGCATATTTATATTGTAGATTTACATGTTAGAAGGCGAGTGTGTTGTGTGAAACAATGTGTCGCCTGTACGCTTATAAGGACTAATACCAGAAGGGTAACAACTTGTATCTAAATAATGTGCACTGTGTACCCGTGCTTAATGCTGTCAGTCAGTGTGTTTTCAATGCTAGCAGACTTTTCACATTTGATGCTTTATGCAAGTTTAAGAATGTGTATGTATGTTTATACGGATGCATCTTTCATTAGAACTAGCCAACAGTATGCAGTAGTGGTGCATTTTCAAAACATTCAAAGTAAAAGAGATTTATATTTAAACGTATGCATGTCAAGAAGTCCCCTTTGTTTCCATGATGGAAACACATGGGAGAGTCAGAATGTGTATGCAGATAATAAATTAGTTTACCGTCACTGTACATTGCCGGCTGTCTCAGCTCAGGTGGGTGCTGCAGTGACGGGGGTACAAGTTGGTGGAAGAATTCCCTCGGAAATGGCACGGTTGGTGGGTAAGGGGCCATATCACCGTCTCCTCCCATGAGTCTGGGGTGGGGGACTGGTCTTCCTCCCCAGCGGGGGTTTTGTAGACGCATGATGACAGAGAGAGGGATGGGCTTGCGCTGGCGGGACGGAGACGATGTTGGGGGGATAGAAATACGGGAGATGATGGGCTGAGGCTGGTATTGGGAGTGGACTGGGGATGAAACATCTGGAGGCACTGTTATACGTATGTTACGCGGGAGAGACGCGTGGGAAAACTTGAGATTTTGAGAGCGAGGATCCTTGAACAGAAAGTAAAAGAGGGATACATGTCATCCTACTCCACTGAATCAAATAACTGTATAACTTGGAGTTTAATTTATCTAATTATGGATAATCATTGGTGGCTCTTTAAATCATATTTGTAAAAAGAATTATAAAAATTAGGTTGCACCAAGAAAGGTTAACTGACAAATGAAAACGGTCTGAGAAATGTTTTTGCAATCCAAATATATAACATTATTATGCTTAGTATGTATTTACATATTTTAGATTTTGCCCTTCTATTGTGTCATGTCTTATTGAATCCACCACACTGACCCCAATTTCATTGCCTAAAATCATTGATGTGTTTCTTCTCAGCCTTCATTACATGTTACTTGTTAGACGCTTTTATCCAAAGCGACTTACATACTCAATACTGTGGGCAATCCCCACAGGAGCAATTTGGGTGTGTCTCAGAGACACAACGACATGCTGACTGCAGTGGGGTTTGAACCTGTGACCCCCTGATTCGAAGTCCAGCACTCTATCCACATAGCCACAGCCTTTATGTCCCCATGTTTGCAGATAATCAAGATACCACCTTTGTATCCTCTTTTAGCTTTTTATTTCTATTTAACAGCATATAGATTGTGTCTTTGAGTACAAAGGGGGTACAATAGAACAAAAGTAATTGATGAACCAAAATAAAAAATAAACACTTAACTTAAGCTCAGGTGGACAAGTTGGAGGCAAATATTTTCTGAGTCAACTTAACTTAAGCAAGTAACACTGATTCTGTCGCACCACTATAAACTTTTTCGATTGATGCCAAAAATTGAGAAATCATCTTGTAGGAACTAAATGCTATGAGTTGAGGAGGCTCTTGGTTTGTAATGCCCCGGAGAATTATCACATACTGTACATTAACATCTCTATGGAGCTTTTAACACTCTTTTTGCTTGTTGTTTTTATATTTTACAGCAAAATACTGTGGTTCAACTATCATTACAAAACTTGCCTACCCAGAACCAAAGGGTACAATAATTTAATAATACAAATTAAAAAAACAAAATGAAAATAATCCTTAAAACAAGATTTATTCGATGAATAATGATAGAGTAGGCAAGCCAGTAACATTGTACTTATTGTATTTTTCTGACCCATTGAGTCAAGAATTATATAACTGAGTCTTTTCATTCAACCGGCTTTTGTAACTCCTATCCTCTCCCACATTCACCTCGATTCACCCTGTTGTCATCTGTGCCTAACAGTGCCAGGTGACTTGCGGCTACTCCCAATTTGTGGAACTCTGTAGCAATAAAAGTTTGGGCTACAACATAAGCCAGGCAAATGAATCTATCAGAGTAGCTATTTGAACGCCTCTCTGTTAACACCACCCACCTTTTTTGGGCTTGGGGCCTGAAGGGGGCCATCGAGGTTGGACTCTCTCCAGCAGCTATTTGGCACAGACGGCTGTAGCCACTCTGTCTCTGTAACAGGAAAGTGTGAAGTTAGAACACAGAGACCACATACGGGACAGGCAGAGCACCAGGGCACCTCAGGCCTTGAATCCAAATAGTTTTGTCCTGGCTTAATTCCAAGACTTTCCTTAAGAAATAGAAGTTGAGAAAGTAGCAAAAATAAACCAACTGTCATAGGTGTGGTGAGGTTTCTTGTCGTAGGACACGTCTAGATCTGTCTCGCTCCACTTTCCTGAGTTCTTCTGCCGGTGCACACCCTCCTCTAGGAGAGGAACAAGAGATTGAGAAATAAAGTGAAAGGAACACAAAATGATTGCCAGACAAAGGGTGGTGTTACTAAGGCAGTGTTTCTCAAAGTGTGCGGCACCTCACCACTTCATAAGGAGTTTAACCGTGACACTTTTCAAAATCCAGTTTGTGTCCCCCCACTTTACAAATAGGCCTATGTTTATTATTATTTCTTAACGCAAGCCGTCATCGCCACGGAGGAGCACACAGCCTCTGTGAGCGAGCGAGACAGAGAGAGAGAGCGAGAGAGCTAGAGAGAGCACACCTTTATCTATTTAATATAGCCTAGTTGTAAAAAATAAAGTAAAAAATCATTCCAATGTGTGCTATAGGACAGTAAAAAAAGAAAAGCAGTTTAAAAGAGGAGTGATTAGTAAAATATACATAAATAAAAAGAAAGAATGCTAACTAGGTAACATAAGAGTAAGAATAAACCAGTTTAAATGATTTGTTGGTTGTGATCATATTCTAAAGATGTTTGGATTATTGAAAAGTATACAGCTCCCTTTCATCTGAGTGTTGAGAGCTTTACCCATACATTCATGTTGTGCTCAACGTGCACCAGATTGATGCTTTTAACTTCAACTTAAAAAAATTATCTTCCCCGGGCCCCCCTAGAGGATATGAGGTCCACCCCCAAATAAAGCAGGTTAAAATAATTAAATTGAATACATTTTCTTTGAGTAAACACAGGCTAAAGGTAAGCATATAATAATGTTAAAATGTGCTGAATATATACACTGCAAAAAACAAAAAAAAGAGGAGTAAAAGTAGCCCACGACTTGTTTTATGTTTTCTCTCATCCTCATCTCTCTCAGCTCTCATC